CATTTCATTCAATGTCTTTTTCAATAGCATTACTCTTGTTTCTTTCAGAGCAGCCTCTGTTCTCTCTGTTCGTATTGTGTTCTCTAATGTTCTTTTTTGTTTGTACCTTTTACCATTTTACACATCTGAGATGAAAATGTAATGATGTAAGACCATGTTCCCTGCATATGGCATCATGTTCAGTACTCAGCTCACTCACAAGACCAGCATGACCCCGTTTAACAGTTTTGTAGATCGCTGCTTTTTGTTGCGGAAGGAAAAAAGCTTGAATATTCAGAGTCAAACAAAATGGAGTGAATCCTAGCCTCATACTGAAGGACCATATAAACATGCCTTGCAGATTGGAGGAGCTTGTTTAATGCTTTTCTAAAAAGTAAAGAGATTGTATTAAAACCAGTTATCCAGTGAATCCTCATGTATGTTCAGTCCTTCAGAAAGGGCTTATTTCTAGATTCTCTGGTCTCCATCAGTGAACTACAAATAATTGATATGTCAATTCAAAAGTGAATGTAGCTCAAATGTTTAAAATCTTAGTACAATTAGATGAAGCGGAAATGATTATGTTGCTCATTAAAATAACAAAAGGATAAACACTTTGAGTAGTACTCCAGCAGATGTGATCAACCAGCCTTCTCCCACTCACAGTGAGCAATCCCTCCTCCACCTGTTTTACTGTGAAACTATGCACAACAACACAGACATACACCCAGTCGATGTTTTATGAGTTTATTCACAGTAGTGAGGAGGTGTTTGTGTATGCTAGAATGCAAATGACAAGGCTATTTCATTTCAACATAGTAGTCCACTGGAGACCTTAACAGATGGTGAGTGCAGCTCAATTGAAACCATTACTAGTACATGAAGATAACAATTGCCACAGAAAAAAATATATTCAGAAAAAGAAAAAGACATTGTGAAAGTGAATGCTGGAAAAGCATAAAACATGTGGAAGAAGTTAAAGAAGCCCAAGACACACCCTTAACTATTCACAGATCTGCCTTAATATAAGACCATAACGCTACCTTCTGACAACCCACTCAATGTAACACATTACAGAGTGAAAGAGTCTAAACTTATAATGCAAACCCAGCAGTGAGTAACCAAACCCACCTGAGCCACAAGGCCAAAGTCATACGTTCTCTGCTCGCCCTCACATTCACAAATGAAAGCTAATTTTGCAGTGAAGGGTTTGCAAAGCAAGCACATGTAATATTTATTAAAAGTTGTCCTTGACTGTCAATAAACTATCATCATCCCAGACACACAGTAAGACCATTACAGCTATTTGTCTCAGTATGGATACAAACAGGGTCATGAAGGGAAGTTATAGGAGAAGATAGATAACGTATACAGACTACACTCACACACATTGTCTATTATGAATGAAAAAGCTAACGAATACAAGCATTGATAATATGTTTGGACAATTTGCTCATTAGCAAGAAGGCTGCAGACTGTAGATATACATAGGATTATGATACATGTGTCAGAATGAGAAGATGTTTACTCCTTCTTGCAAGTGTTTACAGAGATGTATGAGGCAATTAGTGCTAAATTAGCTAGCACTAATTAGGGATGGTAGCAATGAAAAAGACTCAATCAACTCAGTAATACTGAGGGTCAGTCTTTCTGATTAAAAGGGCTGAGACACAACAGTGTGGATTCACTAGTACCAGAGCAATGTGACCCGAATTCCCTTTGAAGCCGCGTGTCTCATTTTCATGATATGATGTCATCTCTGGTGCTCCATTTTCACACACAAACACACACACAACTTGAAACTTCCTCTGCTCAGCGGGACATCGTTTCAGCCTGACTGAAACACAGGGAGAAATTTGGCAGCCAGGCAGGGTGTAGGCAAAGGTTGCATAAGCATTACTGACTTTTCTTCTTTTTTTTTTAAACTGCGTGGTGGGAGAAAAATTCATTATTGCTGCAGGAGGGTTAGTCATCTCTAGCTTTCAAGTTTCATTAAAAGTGTAATAGGTTCATCAAAGTTATCAACATCGCCCCTTTTCGACATCTTTGCAGCCTACGTTACAGAGAAGAAATTCACTGTGAGGGTTTGGAATGCAAAACGTTGCCATACTTATGATGAGGTTCACCTACAAAAGGAATTCTAAAAGTATGATAAGGATTTCGTTACGTCAAATAAGAGTTTAGATGGCAAAAACATTGAATATAAACCAGTCGGAGTCTAATACAAGCAGGTGTGTTCATAATAATGAAGGCACTCTTCTGTGAGTTTACATGAGAATTACGGCAACCAGACTGTGCCTCTGGACCTTGACATGTTTTTAGTACTTAAGTCTCGCAGCACTAAAAGCAAATTGAGTTAGTCCAATAGTCCAAGTAATCCGAATGTTTGCTATCATGTTGTATCTACATAAGGGGAAAATGAAGGAGAGGTTGAAGAAGGATGCAGCCGAGTTTGAGTTTTTAACTTATTCCTATTTCAACGTGTTCAAGCATTGTCATTGTTTTCAGTATTTCCATATTAAATAGCCATCTGATTAAAGGCATGTCTTTTCTTCTTTTATGCTGTATGTGTTCCCTACCAAAGAGCCCCTTCTTTACACTAGATTTAATTTCCTAGGACTCATGATTTCTTTTTTCACCACAGAAAGTTCATTCTGCCCTACAACAGAGGACTCAGAAGAAGGTGGAAAGGAAATGGAGAGGATGATGATCATGCATCTAGTCACAAAGTTCCTTACAGCAGGAGTTCAGAGAGAGACAGGTACAAGCAGTACATGGTACTGTTTTTTATCTTTCTCACCATGTACTCAAGCCCTCCCTCACACACAGACAGGCAAACACATACTAACCTCACGCTGCTTTATAGCATCATCATCTGCAGGGAGGAAAGACCCTCACGAAACCCCCATAGTGAGAAACTGAAAGCATTATTATCACTTTTGCAGAAAGCTATGTTCTATTTCACACACTGACGATTAGGACACTCTGCAGGCTGGGATGAAAGTGTGTGTGTATGTGTGTGTTTGTAGGGGACCCATTATGTGTCCAGTATTGCTGCACCTATATAAATTGCCAAACTACAGTGAAGGTCTTTCCATCAGGAGCAGGCAGGAAATCAGCAGTAGTTTGATGAAACGAAACACGTACACAATCATCCACACATACACAATGCAATAAAGGAAAGTGGTACATTTTTAAATGAATTCTGATTATTGTGTGTGAAAGAAAAAAAAAGAAGCAATCCCTTTAGGCTGTACTCTGCCATACATCTCTAAGTTTCTCCTGAATCTGGCTTGCAATAAAATACCATTGATTAATTTGGAAGTCAAGCCTTTTAGAGGTATCCATATGGGAACAAATCAAAAACAAAAATAAATCATGCTTGCTCCCTGTTATGGCAAAAGTGTTGTTTTGAAATAACGTTTGATTATTTTACCATGGAAAAAATATGGCAGGAGGCTCCATGTTTACCAATCCCATAACTCTGATTGATCGGTGGGATAGAGAGACCGGAGCACAACGGAAAAACACAAACACAGTATTTTTTTTTATAAATTGTTCTCTGGTTTATAGTTGACCTGCCTCTGTACTTTGCGTATACCGTACATTATTTGTATGAAATGTTCCAATATTTTGTGACAACTGTAAGATCATTTAAGTAAAAAAAAAGTATAAACAAGTGAAAGAACGATTTTTTTAACAAAAGCCTCAAGGTTTTAATTGGACAAGCAGGTAGAAGGTTTGCTCATTTAGGCTCAGGGTCGCAGGTTTGTATTGACGAGTTTGCTGAAAAACAAAGCTTCAGATTTCCTGCCTGACTAGTACACACTGGACTAATTATCATGGCTGTTCCACGGAGGTGCCTACCGGCTCGCTGCCAGAGAGAGAGACAGAGAGAGAGCACGTGTTATAGTACGATTGTGGACTCTCGGGCTCCATTAATTTGTAGGTCTCACCATGCCACAGGCCTCAGAGTCCGGAGCATTGTCTCAACTAGACAGACAGCTCTGTGGGCAACTACCAAACATGAAGGGACATTTGGGGAAGAGCGGCATGTATGAAAAAGAGGGATAAGAGGAAGCATTGAGGGAATAGCTGAGGCGAGGTACAGAAAATCCAGCTTAGAGCCGAGGGAGCTGTGGAGACAAACAGGTATGTGAAAGTACAGAAGCTTGTCAGGAAGGAGGAAAATCTGCACTGGACTGTGAGAATTGAGGATTCCTACTGGGAGAAGGGATTTTTTTCTCTACCACTTGTTTCTATAAATATAATTTGTTGACGGGAGAGCTCTCCAGTCAGAAGCTAAGAGTACCTGACTGACCTCAGCAATACGGCCCTAAGTTAAGGGTCCAGCTGTGGCCGCAGAAGGTAAGGTAAGCCAGTGTGCTTTAAAGCAGTACTGTCTTTGTCCTGAGGAGCTACTTAATAGCCCTTGAGGTGGGATTGTTTGGTGAAGAAAGAACTTTAAACCTCAAGTTGGCATCTAGCTTTGTGACCACAGTGCTCCAAGTAAAGGTTACTTTTATAAGCGTTAACTATTAGGATGTGAGCGTGGGTCTGAACTTGCCACCAGTGCACATCTGGTGCCGCACCTAAGCAAATACTGCAGACTGTTTCCGATAGTACTTCTCACGCACTACTTATAACCAGGAAATTATCTTGAAATCCAAAATGAAATTAGCATTAGAAAAATCGATTGAATAACAGTTCCGACTCAAGGTCCATTTATTCGAGCTTTTAGAAAATGGTCTAATGGCCTTTATCAAGTACCTCATGTGGAACCTACTTTCCGGTTTGATACAAAGCAAAATGACAGGTTTGAAAATGTAACCTTGATTGTTTCATCATAGTTAGTGTGTGTGTGTGTGTGTGTGTGTGTGTGTGTGTGTGTGTGTGTGTGTGTGTGTGTGTGTGTGTGTGTGTGTGTGTGTGTGTGTGTGTGTGTGAAAATGCACTTCAAAATTATCACTTTTCTCTTGATTTCCCCT